TCATCGAGGACATTACCCTTTCGGAAGCCGACGTTTTCTCCGTATTGCATAATCTCGACATTAATAAAGCTCAAGGTCCAGATGGGATTCCTGCACGATTATTAAAAGAAACAGCTCGCCAAATTGCTCCATCACTAACTGTCTTGTTTAATAAATCTCTGAACACTGGTGTGTTACCACGCGACTGGAAACTAGCAAATGTTGTTCCCGTCCACAAAAAAGACAACAAAGAGCACGTAGAAAACTATCGACCGATTTCGCTTCTTTCGCTTATCTCGAAAGCATTGGAAAGATGCGTGTTCAATAAGATCAAAGACCACGTTTTCGAACAGATTAACAACGGTCAACATGGCTTTGTTCCTCGGAAGTCCTGTGTTACACAGCTCATTGAAGTCTTTGAGTATATTGGTCGTGAGCTGGATCTTGGGAAACAAGTTGATGTGATGTACTTGGATATGTCCAAGGCGTTTGATCGAGTAAGTCACATGCAACTGTTGAAACGACTTCGTGATTTTGGATTCGGTGGCAATATTCTTAACTGGTTTAGATCTTACCTCAAGGACCGTCGGCAGCAGACTACAGTACTTGGTGCAACATCATCAGCACTACCAGTAACCTCTGGAGTTCCCCAAGGCTCAATCCTTGGACCACTGCTGTTCCTATTATATCAGAATAATCTCCCCAACTCCATCAACCACTCGAAGATCGCGACGTTTGCTGACGACACAAAGATTTACAAGGTGATAAACGCGAAGGCTGATGCATCCGCTATGGAGAATGATCTTGCGAACTTCCAAACTTCCTGTGCCAATGCTAATCTTCTCCTCAACACAGATAAATGTAAGACACTTCGAATTACTAGAAAACGCAACAAAATCGACCATACATACAAATTGCACGATTCCGCTCTGAAAACCACAGATTGCGAACGTGACCTTGGCGTCTGGAGCTCCTCCACCCTCACATGGTCCAAACAAGTCCTCCACCAGTGCACCCAAGCCAACAAATCCCTCGGGTATATTCGACGGTCCACGATCAAATTCAAGACCATCTCTGTTCGTCGGACTCTATATCTTACCCTCGTTCGTTCCCACCTCGCATACGCGTCCCAAGTCTGGGCTCCACAAACTGTTGATCTCATTAAGCGTACAGAACGCGTTCAAAGACGTGCGTCAAAATACATATTGAACCTACCCTTCTTCTGTGACATCAGCTATAACCACCGTCTCGCAACATTGAATCTACTACCTTTGTGTTACTGGCATGAGTACCTAGACATATTGTTCCTTTTCAAATCACATCATGACATTATTAACCTAAGCAGCGACATACTACCATACCCTCAAAATTCAAGTCAACGTACCCGTTCTACAAATCCTGACTGCCTACAATTTCAGACTTCAGCATGTAAAACATCTACCTATCAAAAATCCTATCTAATAAGGACTACTAGAGTCTGGAACACACTGCCAAGGGATTTAGTTACTATTAATGGCATGGCAACCTTAAAGGAGTTTAAAAGTAAGTTGTATATCTATTATAAAACAGCATTAGATAAATGTTATGACGTTGACGATCCACGAACATGGAAAACGGTTTGCTTAAAATGCAATCAAGCTCGCGACCTTACAAGGCCGATAACGTGTTGTTTTTATATTTTAGTAGTTTTCAGAAGTAGCTTTTCGCATTGGTATCTATGGGCCTATCCAGGGTTTTGCTGAAGGTTTAGGATTGTGAGGGTTAAACGTCTTCCGATTCAGTCAGCTTCCGAAACTAGAAGTGGTCATGCGGGTCGCAATGTGTAAAGTTGAATCTGATATAGTTCGTTAATAATTGATTTTTCTATGTACGTATATAGTGTATTTGTCTAACATTTAGGGATCGCAGTAATTGGCGCAAGCTGTTGCGATTGCCCTGCCAGTTTTTGTGTTAACGTTAATTGTTTGAATCTGGCAAAGTTAATAAATTAAATTAAATATAAGTTGCTCTCTACAATTAAAACATCTAAATCAGCAGGGCATGATAGAATACCCAGTAAACTTCTAAGAGACGCTGCTGAGGTAATAGCACCATCCCTGTCAGCAATCTTTAACGCATCTATAAACACTGGTATATTTCCTGAAGACTTCAAGATTGCTATCATTTCTCCAATTCATAAGACTGGAAGCAAAACTAATTGCGATAATTATAGACCAATCTCGGTTCTATCCTCAGTTGCTAAAATATATGAGAAATTAGTTACAGAGCAACTAGAAATTTATCTTGAAACTAATCACATTCTTGCAGAACAACAAGCAGAATTTAGGAAAAATCACTCTACACAAACTTCTCTACTTAACATCACGAACCAATGGCTAATGAATATGGATAAAGGTTTGTTAAATGGAGTGATTTTTTTGGATCTCAAGAAAGCGTTTGACTGTGTTGATCATAATATATTGTTAAAAAAATGCATTGTTATGGAATAAGAGGTCATACGCTTGCTTGGTTCCAGTCCTATCTTTCTAGCAGGATTCAAATATGTAAGGTAGATCAAACAATGTCCAAGACAAGAACAGTTAAATGTGGAATACCCCAAGGTTCTAATCTTGGGCCACTTCTTTTCTTATTATATATAAACGACCTGCCAAACTGCCTGACCTCATCTTCAGCAAGCATGTTTGCCGATGACACAAATGTTTCAACCAATGGCAAAACAAATGACGAACTACAAGAACGCATTAACGTGGACTTAGAAAATATACACCAATGGTTACTTGCAAACAAACTTACACTTAACAAAGATAAAACTGAATACATGATTATTGGTTCAAGACAACGAATTTCAAACTTAGCACTAACGGACCCTAAAATTGAGCTTGGTGAATCAGTCATTAAACGGGTTCACAAATCAAAAACTTTAGGCGTAATTATTGATGAACATCTTTTATGGAATCATCAAATCCAAAATATTGTCACAAAAGCTTCAAAAAGAATAGGAATGATGCGACGAATAAAACAGTTTGTTCCCAAATCAACCTTAGTAAAAATATATAATGCCATTGTGCTATCACATTTTGATTATTGTAGCTTGGTTTGGGATAACTGTTGTGATTACTTAAAAAACAGACTTCAGAAATTACAAAACAGGATGTTTTAAAAGAATTAGACTGGCAACCTTTAAACCAACGCTATAAAACCATTAAATCGATTTTTATGCACAGAATACGAAACGAAAAAATGCCATCATCAATTTGCAACATGTTCAAAATTAAAATAAATGACAGATATGATTTAAGAAGTAACAATAACAACTCTGATCTTGGAAAACCTGAAACAAATTTTATGAAAAAGAGCTTCAGTTATTCAGCCGCATCCCTTTGGAATGACCTATCAACTACAGCAAAAGAAAAAGGCATTAGCCTTAACAAATTTAAACGTATTCTTGACGGCACTTGATTCCTTTTGGTAACTTTGTAAATATTTAAATAGGATAGGATATTTTTAGATACAAATGTAGTGCATGCAATTATTAAGTTCGTGATGTTTTCTCTGTTTTTGTGTGTATATTTGTGTTATTATATTTATATAGCTTGTAAATACTGTAATAAACGGCCTCTTGAAAAACAGGTGCCTACGAGCCCTGAAGAGCTACCGTTTTAAAATATTTTTAAATAATAATAATAATAATAATAGTGGCAAATGTCAGATGGTCCGATCGATCGGATCCATCGGACAAGCTTGTTTACGGTCGGACAGAAATTTTACCGACGGCGAAATGACGTCATTTGAAAGCTACGCGGTTGCAAAGTAAAGAGCCTTGGGCAGTAGACTCTGGCACGATGTTAGTGGCAAATGTCAGATGGTCCGATCGATCGGATCCATCGGAAAAGCTTGTTTACGGTCGGACAGAAATTTTACCGACGGCGAAATGACGTCATTTGAAAGCTACGCGGCGGCAAAGTAAAGAGGCTGGGCAGTAGGCTCTGGCACGATGTTAGTGGCAAATGTCAGATGGTCCGATCGATCGGTCGGATCCATCGGACAAGCTTGTTTACGGCCGGACAGAAATTTTACCGAAGGCGAAATAACGTCATTTGAAAGCTACGCGGTGGCAAAGTAAAGAGGCTGGGCAGTAGGCTCTGGCACGATGTTAGTGGCAAATGTCAGATGGTCCGATCGATCGATCGGATCCATCGGACAAGCTTGTTTACGGTCGGAAGCTTTTTTGTATATTATATATATAAATAATATATATATACTTGTTAATGATATATATATTATCATTATACTTGTTAATGATATATATCGAATTTACTCTTCTAAACTTAGAATTTACTCTTCAAAATATCGAATTTATTCTTCAAAACTTAGAATTTACTCTTCAAAACTTAGAACTTACTCTTCAAAACTTCGAATTTACTCTTCAAAATTTAGAATTTACTTTTCAAAATTTATAATTTACTCTTCAAAATATAGAATTTACTGTTCAAAACTTACAATTTACTTGTCAAAACTTAGAATTTACTGTACAAAACTTAGAATTTACTCTTCAAAATATCGAATTTACTCTTCAAAACTTAGAATTTACTCTTCAAAATATAGAATTTACTTCTCAAAACTTAGAATTTACTCTTATACTTAGAATTTGCTCTTCAAAACTTAGAATTTACTCTTCAAAATATAGAATTTACTCATCAAAACTTAGAATTTACTCTTCAAAATTCAGAATTTACTCTTCAAAACTTAGAATTTACTCTTCAAAATATAGAATTTACACTTCAAAACTTAGAATTTACTCTTGAAATTTAAAATTTTCTCTTCAAAACTTAGAATTTACTCTTCTAAACTTAGAATTTACTCTTTAAATCTTAGAATTTTCTCCTCAAAACTTAGAACTTACACTTCTAATCTTAGAATTTACTGCTCAAAACTTAGAATTTAGTCTTCAAAATTAGAATTTCCTCTTCGGAACTTAAAATTTAGTCTTGAAAACTTAGAATTTACTCTTCAAAACTTAGAATTTACTCTTCAAAATATAGAATTTACACTTCAAAACTTAGAATTTACTCTTGAAATTTAAAATTTTCTCTTCAAAACTTAGAATTTACTCTTCTAAACTTAGAATTTACTCTTCAAAATATCGAATTTACTCTTAAAAACTTAGAATTTACTCTTCAAAATATCGAATTTACTCTTCAAAACTTAGAATTTACTCTTCAAAATTTAGAATTAACTTTTCAAAACTTATAATTTACTCTTCAAAATATAGAACTTACCCTTCAAAACTTAGATTTTACTCTTCAAAACTTAGAATTTACTTGTCAAAACTTAGAATTTACTCTTCAAAACCTAGAATTTAATCGTCACAACTTAGAATTTACTCTTCAAATCTTAGAATTTACTCTTCAAAACATAGAATTTACTCTTCAAAAGTTAGAATTTACTCTTCAAAATATCGAATTTACTCTTCAAAACTTAGAATTTATTCTTCAAAATATCGAATTTACTCTTCTAAACTTAGAATATACCTTTCAAAATATCGAATTTACTCATCAAAATATCGAATTTACTCTTCAAAACTTAGAATTTACTCTTCAAACTTAGAATTTACTCTTCAAAATTCTGAATTTACTCTTCAAAATTCAGAATTTACTCTTCAAAATATAGAATTTACTTTTCAAAACTTAGAATTTACTCTTCAAACTTAGAATTTTCTCTTCAAAACTTAGAACTTACTCTTCTAAACTTAGAATTTACTCTTCAAAATCTTAGAATTTACTCCTCTAAACTTAGAATTTACTCTTCAAAATTAGAATTTAACCCTTCGGAACTTTAAATTTATCCTTCAAACCTTAGAATTTACTCTTCAAAACTTCGAATTTACTGTTCAAAACTTAGAATTTACTCTTCAAAACTTGGAATTTAATCTTCAAAACTTAGAATTTACTCTTCAAAACTAAGAAATTACTCTTCAAAACTTAGAAATTACTCTTTAAAACTTAGAATTTACTCTTCAAATATAGAATTTACTCTTCAAAACTTCGAATTTACTCTTCAAAATTTACAATTTACTTTTCAAAACTTATAATTTACTCTTCAAAATATAGAATTTACTGTTCAAAACTTAGAATTTACTTGTCAAAACTTAGAATTTACTGTTCAAAATATCGAATTTACTCTTCAAAACCTAGAATTTACTCTTAAAAACTTAGAATTTACTCTTCAAAACTTAGAATTTATTCTTCAAACTTAGAATTTTCTCTTCAAAACTTAGAATTTACTCTTCAAAATATAGAATTTATTCATCAAAACTTTGAATTTACTCTTCAAAATTCAGAATTTACTCTTCAAAACTTAGAATTTACTCTTCAAAATATAGAATTTACTCTTCAAAATTTAGAATTTACTCTTCAAAATATCGAATTTACTCTTTAAAACTTAGAATTTACTCTTCAAAACTTAGAATTTAATCTTCAAACTTAGAATTTACTCTTCAAAACTAAGAAATTACCCTCCAAATCTTAGAAATTACTCTTCAAAACTTAGAATTTACTCTTCAAACTTAGAATTTTCTCTTCAAAACTTAGAACTTACTCTTCTAAACTTAGAATTTACTCTTCAAAATCTTAGAATTTTCTCCTCAAAACTTAGAATTTACCCTTCTAAACTTAGAATTTACTCCTCAAAACTTAGAATTTACTCTTCAAAATTAGAATTTACCCTTCGGAACTTAAAATTTACTCTTCAAAACTTAGAATTTACTCTTCAAAACTTAGAATTTACTCTTCAAAACTTAGAATTTACTCTTCAAAACTTGGAATTTAATCTTCAAAATTTAGAATTTACTCTTCAAAACTAAAAAAATTTCTCTTCAAAACTAAGAAATTACTCTTTAAAACTTAGAATTTACTCTCCAAATTTAGAATTTACTCTTCAAAACTTCGAATTTACTCTTCAAAATTTACAATTTACTTTTCAAAACTTATAATTTACTCTTCAAAATATAGAATTTACTGTTCAAAACTTAGAATTTACTTGTCAAAACTTAGAATTCACTGTTCAAAATATCGAATTTACTCTTCAAAACTTAGAATTTACTCTTCAAAACTTAGAATTTACTCTTCAAAACTTAGAATTTACTCTTCAAACTTAGAATTTTCTCTTCAAAACTTAGAATTTACTCTTCAAAATATAGAATTTATTCATCAAAACTTTGAATTTACTCTTCAAAATTCAGAATTTACTCTTCAAAACTTAGAATTTACTCTTCAAAATATAGAATTTACTCTTCAAAATTTAGAATTTACTCTTCAAAATATCGAATTTACTCTTCAAAACTTAGAATTTACTCTTCAAAACTTAGAATTTTCTCTTCAAAACTTAGAATTTACTCTTCAAAACTAAAAAAATTTCTCTTCAAAACTAAGAAATTACTCTTTAAAACTTAGAATTTACTCTCCAAATTTAGAATTTACTCTTCAAAACTTCGATTTTACTCTTCAAAATTTACAATTTACTTTTCAAAACTTATAATTTACTCTTCAAAATATAGAATTTACTGTTCAAAACTTAGAATTTACTTGTCAAAACTTAGAATTCACTGTTCAAAATATCGAATTTACTCTTCAAAACTTAGAATTTACTCTTCAAAACTTAGAATTTACTCTTCAAAACTTAGAATTTACTCTTCAAACTTAGAATTTTCTCTTCAAAACTTAGAATTTACTCTTCAAAATATAGAATTTATTCATCAAAACTTTGAATTTACTCTTCAAAATTCAGAATTTACTCTTCAAAACTTAGAATTTACTCTTCAAAATATAGAATTTACTCTTCAAAATTTAGAATTTACTCTTCAAAATATCGAATTTACTCTTCAAAACTTAGAATTTACTCTTCAAAACTTAGAATTTTCTCTTCAAAACTTAGAATTTACTCTTCAAAACTAAGAAATTACTCTCCAAATCTTAGAAATTACTCTTCAAAACTTAGAATTTACTCTTCAAAACTTGGAATTT